ATACAGACATGGGTTCTTTAATAACCAAGCAGACACAACCTCAGTTTAACATCTCACCGTACAGCGGTGCTCCATGTTACCAATCAGGGATACTGGTCTGGTAAGAGGGAAGAGCACCACCTACTGGTACAATTAAAACTAATTACAGCAGCCACCTGGTGTTTCATCAGAAGCCTCCTATCCCAGGACTGACCCGACCCAGCCTGCCTGCGCTCCTGAGACCTGATGAGATCAAACTACAAAGTGGTAACACCATTGTCAGGTAGCGCGACCCCAACCAAGAAAACAGAAATTGTGAAACAGGAAGCTTGAATTAGCGATCTACGAGACTTACATGACTTGTGTGGATAACATATCCTTTTCATCCAACAAGGAGGAGACTCGATTAAAATTCCAAACAGAATGTTAAGCTATATAGTCAAAAGCACAGAAACTAAATCAAGTGATATATTATAATTGTACTATGCACTGGTGAAGCCTCATTTATACATGCTTGTACAGTTTTGGTTCACACCATACAAAAAAAGATACTGCTGGAGGAAGATACATCCTCGGGTTTAAAGAGATTTCATATACCGACAAAGCTTGATTATCTAAATCTCTTTAGTCTTGCGCATAGAAAACTACGAGGGAACCCGATTTAACCCTAGTATTTTATATCTTCAAAGACACAGACAAAGTGAACCCACTGGACTTCATCAGGACCAACACAAACTGGAGGACGCAGGAGGAAGCTACATGGAGGTGCATTTAAAAGTGTGTTCACCAGGGAAAACAACAACACACAAGAACTGAAGGCTCTGTGGACGTTAGGAGTACTTGGCCAGATAAGCATGGCTGAACCCGCTTGGTTAACGGGCAGCCCTCTGACCACAGGACGAGGCGACTCGAACCCCAGTCGGACAGCAGGAGCCAAGGGTCAGCCGCAGGGTGGAGACTGGGCGCAGCAGGGAGGCTGGAGACGAACGTGTTTGAGTCGGTGTATATATATATACTGTAGAGCTGGGTTTTGTAAATGATGGGGTGTGATCAACTTGTTGTTAACTCTCCCAAACTTCAATAAATAACTTCCATAACTTCTTTACACAAAAGGTTGTGGGTGTGTGGAGTAATAAGATGAATGGCCTCCTCTTACATGTATCCATCCCTACTTTTCCATGATCTTACCAGAAGCTGTGGCTCTAGAACTGACAGTCGTAATAACCAGACATTAGCAGCAGACCAGTACAGTGCAACGATGGTCAGAACAATAACACTGCCTGACTGACAGTAAAGACATAACTGCTGAAAAGCCCTGGTTAGTATTCAGAGTTTAGTTACTTCTCATAGTTACCTCACAGATTTGCTCAAAACTTCAGTGTACAATATTTACAATGTACAATTATTAAAGTATTAAAGTATGCAATTATTTGCAATCCCCACCTGTAGCCACCTCTAATGCCACTGCTGACTTTCACCTCTTGTTCATAGCGCTGAGTTCACAGGCATGCTGCATATCTGTGCTGTCTCTGTCTCGGCCCTGACTCAGCCCTGGATGATACCATCTCACTGCAGTGATATGGGAGGGGTTGTGAGTCACTGATGGCAGTGCTGTCTGAGTGAGAAGATGACGTCACAGTGCTGTCTGAGTGAGAAGATGACGTCACAGTGCTGTCTGAGTGAGAAGATGATGTCACAGTGCTGCCTAGCACTGTGTAAGAAGATGTGATCTCACAGTGCTCTCTGTGTAAGAAGATGAAATTACAGTGCGGTCTGAGTAAGAAGGTGATGTCACAGTGTGGTCTGAGTAAGAAGGTGATGTCACAGTGTGGTCTGAGTAAGAAGGTGATCTCACAGTGTGGTCTGAGTAGGAAGGTGATGTCACAGTGTGGTCTGTGTAAGAAGGTGATGTGACAGCACTGTCTAGCACTGTGTAAGTAGAAGTGATGTCACAGTGCTCTCTAAGTAAGATGATATCACAGCGTGGTTTGTGTAAGAAGATTATATCACAGTGCTGTCTGAGTCTGAAGATAATGCCACAATATGAAGGTGATATCATAGCGTGGTCTGAGTGAGGAGAGGTGATGTCACAGTGCTGTCTGAGTAAGAAGGTGATGTCACATTGCTGTCTGAGTAAGAAGGTGATGTCATAGTGCTCCCTCTGAGGAGATGATGCAGCCAAAAGTGAGACTGTTGGGCTGGTCAACCTGTCCTTCAGAGCCCGACTCTGGGGGCTCAGGAGAGCATCACACCATGCTGCCCTCGTAGGAGGATGAACCCCTGGAGAACCCTCTGGTCTCTGCCCTCACTGGAGGGTAAAACCCCAGAGATGCCCCATACGCTTCTTGTTCTCTTCCTCCGGGCGCCCACACTCTCGTTTCCAAGCAGAGAAGCTGCCCTGTGCACAATGCTGCCCTGTGCAGAGCCTCTCTCTCTGCCACATCGCGCCCTGCGTGGCAGCCTCCTCATCGCAGAGCTGGGTGCCAGCTGAACAGCGGCTTTCGCTGCATAATTCATCAGGTTCGAGCAGAGGAAGCAGAACAAGGGGCTGCAGGAATGCGCATGGGCTGCCCATACTCGCCCAGTCCCTGTCAGCCTGCCCACCTGAGCAAACACCCAAGTACATCCAGCTACAGCTGAACAATCCCTCCTGGGA